TAATGATAATAATAATAATATACAAAGCAAGTGATGCACACCCACCGATCAATACCCAGACAGTTCCTGAGCAGCGATTGCTGCTCCTCAGCCAACCCCCCCCAGTTTCTATACTGAGCATGACGTCATATGGTATGGAATAGCCCTTTGGTCAGTTTGGATCAACTCTTCTGGCTGTGCCCCCTCCCAGTTTCTTGTGCACCTGGCAGAGCATGGGAAGCTGAAAAGTCTTTGACTAGCATAAGCAGTACTCAGCAACAACTAAAAACATCAGCGTGTTATCAACATTCTTCTACTAAATCCAAAACACAGCACTATGCCTGCTACTAGGAAGAAAATTAATTCTATCCCAGCTGAAACCAGGACATAGGGGCTCAGGAATGGTCACGCTGCAGGGGACTGAAGACCTCAGAGGCAGCAGGCGTGAAGGAGATGGCTATTTGCACTGGGATGCAAGGGATGAAGGGAGACAGGGTCCTCTGCTCATCCAGACTCAGACCAGGACTTGGAGGGTGATGTCATTTCAGCCATGTTGTCCTAACAGAGCTGCTGCCACTGGGTGCTTGCTGCTGGGGTCCAGAGTCAAGGCTTGGCCCTGGAGCCGTGCAGGAGAATCCTCTGGCAAGGGCAGGGCATTCAAGCCACAGTCCAATGCTTCACACAGTCCATGGCAGCAAGGGCAAACAAGCAGAGTGAGGACAGATGGACACAGCAGCTGCCATGCAGGATCAGGCCTACTGCCCTGACACACTGGAAAAAAAAATCAGAATGATTGCCTCTATGGCTGTCACAACATACTCTGGTTGTCATGATTCATCTCCCACCTTTTGCACCAAAATAGTTTTATTTGCTCTTATTGGAGCTTTTAAATTGCATTTCCAAAATTCATGGTATGGTGAGACATATTAGGAGAAATAACATTTTCTTTCCCGTTTCATACAGGCTCAACTGCAGTATAGCACAGAAGTGAAAAACAAGTGGTTTCAGAGGAATGTGTCGCACACTGTGTAAGCAGAGACTGCACCAGACGAGGGCTCAGTGCAGAGGGGTATGGAGACAGAGGGACTCAAGGGTGATCAGCATCTTTCCACATCACTGTCTTGCATTGCTACCTTTAACTAGTGCAGGTTCAACCATGCAATTGTGTTCGAATTTCTTGGTCATATTAAATACAATTCTAAAGGAAAATAGCCCAACAATAACACCCATCCAGTGTGGTCCTTTGCCACATGTCTGGTTGTAATGTAATTACTCGCATACCTAAATGATTTAGTTATATTTATTGTATACTTAGCACACGAAATTTAGAAGAAATACTGAGTCATAATCTGCTGGATGGGGTGGGGATGGGATGCTTTCAGCCTGCCTTTAGCCCCCTGCCTCTATCATCATGGAATGAGGAAGAGGCACTTTTAGAACAATTCATCCCATCCAAAATAAGCCTCTAAAATGCTTTTTAAATGTGATATATTTTCTCTGTGGAAGTTTCAGCGACATCCATTTTCCAGAATAATGCAATTACCTGTGTTGTAGGCCAGAGGGGAACACAGAGGCTCATTGCAGAGTCTTAACAGGCCAGGTACAAGCAGTACCACACAAGCTTCCCATAAAAGTGGCTTCTGAGAATGATGCAGATGCCTACATTCCTATTCCTGCACCCTGAGCTTGGCAGAATTATCAGAATTTCTAGGATTTCTTTTACTTGCCTTTTGATACTTCAAAATTTGCAAAGGGTGCTCACACTATGTATGAGCAGAGCACGATGGAAAACATTTTCTCAAAGGTCACCTTTACAACATGTCTAACCATGGATGACACTAGAGGAGATTTCTATAGCTACTTCAAAGTCATATTCACTCATTTTAAGGCCAAGTGGGGTCATTAAGTTATCAAGCCTTGCCTTGTGCATGACATAGGCTGCAGCATTTTCTGTATTCTTAAGTAGGATGAGGATTTTCACATTGACAACTGTGTAAGGTTTTATTCCTTGCTTTCTTTAATCTTCCATGATTTTTTCCACTCTGCAGCCTTTCTTTTCCCTCTGCTCATCAAGCACCAAGATTCTCCCTGTTCTTTCTGCTTTACAAGGATCATTTGCTACCACAGTGCCTGTGGCTGAGTCTTCATCTTCCTGATCCCTCTCCTCCAGCGACCTCCAGCACTTTCAAACTGCAGCTGAAAAAAGTTCGTTCTATCTCTGCTTCTACCTCCCCCTGTCACCAACACTTACCTCATTTATAAGTGTGTGAAACATCTTTATAGAGCACAGAGCTCCTACTGAGAGATGCAGGATAAATACTGCACATGACACCAAACGAGACAATTTAACCTTAGATTTTTTTTTAATAAACATTTTATCTCAAAATAATCATGCCATTATAAGGTCATTGAAAAATAGCTCAAATAATTAATTACAAAACTATGCAAAGACTGCATTATACTTTTATCTTTGTGTACAGATTTTGCTCTAAATATTTAATCATTTGTCTGTAATAATAAATACTTGACTGACAAATCAGTTTCTGCATAGCATCAAGGAATTTACTTTCAAATTCAATTTTAGGTGCAGAATCGAACTTTCATTGTCAATAAAGCTGCAGCAGCATGTTAATGAAAATATACATTAAGGCTGGGCCTGAATGAGCAGCCGAAGAACGCATTAAAATATTCTAAGAGAGCTCCAGTTTCCAATACAAATAGCTATGTTTTCTTTTTACAAGGAATGAGATGTGTTTCAGGTTGATTAATTCTGTATGCCTGACTTTTATTTTTAACTGAAGTGTTTGTATATGATTGCTTACAATGAGAGCCATAACCTATACTCATCCTACAACTATCCTATGACTGATCGCACCTGGCAGCGTGTAGATGAAAAGTACCAGGAAGACAATGAGAATAAGCAGAATTATGCCGATGATGATGTACTTCTTGTAATTTCTCCAGATCAGGTGATACAAACACTTGAAAGGATTTACAAACCAAGAGAAGGATGTGTCTGGTCGGCTAAAGAGGAAGAAAGAAGAAGAGAAAAACTTTTGTAAAGGCAGATCCAGCTATTTCCAAAGCTTCCCCACTGCAAAATACATATTTGAATCTAAAAAGGACCTGTAACTCCTGTGAACACACTAAAGAATTTAGAGGGAACTTCCACAAGTTTCACATACTGTTGGGTCACTCTTCTTCCATCTGTCCCCAAGCCCAAGCTCCGCACACAACTCAGAATGAAATTCCAGTTCACACTTCATAACTACTCCAATTTAAGGCAAGATATGGGCTTCAAAATTACAGAGAAGATCATGATAAATCCTGAAGAAGAAATGCAGACATCTTGAACTTGAGTACAAAAGCTTTCTAATCATTGCAAGGAATTTAGCATTGCAAAAGGAGTAATGAGCCACTACAAAAAATCTGATTGCTCAGTGATAGTCATGGTGCCATAACAGTCAGAGCCAGCTCAGGCCTGGCATATGGCCCAAAATGGCATTATTTTCAGAAGGAATTTTAAAAGAGGCCTCCTGAAAACAGGACATGAGATGAAACCTGAAATCTAGGTAGCTTGCCTGGGAACATAAACAAAAGCCACCTTCTTCTGGTGGAGAATATCTGCACTCCACTCTCCTAAGCTTTTTCCAAATGCTGCCCCATGTCACATTCTCCTCCATAACCAGGAGTTTCTTCACACTGTACAGCAAAGCTGGCTGCATACAGAGAGGAAAACAACGTTCTCCTTAGGAAAAATGTTGGTGGAGTATCTCCTCTGGTGTGCCACCCAGCTTGGGAGGTCGCTATGCCTCTGACTTCAACAGCCCTACCCCTGTGATAAGCTGAGGCAACATCTGTCAGCTTTGTATGATGGGATGACCTGCAGAGTACCGTGGTGTGGAGCAACAATAACACCTGCAAAATTGGGTGCAGGTTGTCTCTTATCCAGTATCACTGTAATTGTGCAGATGGTGCAGCACTAAGGAGAATGAAATTAAGACTGAGGGTCACAAAAAGCAACTGCCATGTCTCACTTCAGAAAGCTATTTAAGGAATTTAAGCAATGTCTTAGTCATCTGAAGAATTCAGCATTCACCATGTGGAAATGAATGCCAATGTGACAGAAAGACTGTAAATCTAAAAGGCCAACTGAATATCCTTTAATTAAAGACTTTTATACTGAGGTGGAAATGACTCAGAAATAAATCAACAAATAAGCCCTTTGGGTTAAAAGGAACTATTTTTAGTTATATAGTTATGTATTACATTGGTTATATATGACTTGAGTAACAAAACCATTACTCTGCATGTTCCAACTACTTGGCTTTTCATAAACTTTAAAGACAGGGAAAAAAAGCCAGACTGTTGCTCGTTATCTTTGCAATGTAGGAAATAGAATTTAGTACAGAATCACAGAATCGTTTAGGTTGGAAAAGACCTTTAAGATCATCCAGTCCAACCATTAACCTAACATTACCAAGTCCACACTAAACCAATTAAGGGTAGACTAGACTAAACCATGTCCCAGAGTGCCACGTCTACCCGTTTTTTGAACACTTCCACGGATGGTGACTCCACCACCTCTCTGGGCAGCCTGTTCCAATGCTTGACCACCCTTTCCGTGAAGATTTTTTCCTAATATCCAACCTAAACCTCCCCTGGTGCAGCTTGAGCCCATTTCCTCTTGCCCTATCACTAACTACATGGGAGAAGAGACCAACACCCACCTCACTACAACCTCCTTTCAGGTAGTTGTAGAGAGGAGGTTGTACCAGTTACAGCAGCATATTTGTTATAATAGAGTGCATCTGGGAAAGCATCCTGTCCTGATCAGCAGAGATTGAGAGATGGATAACCTTATGGTGCTTTGGCCAGCAGGAAATTACACTCACTGTATCTTATTTCTCATTTGCATGTTTCCTTTTAGTTCCCAGACATTTAATCTTTGTCCACCTTTGCTCTGGTAAAGAGTCTGCTACTGTCTAGTAGCTCCTAGAACATAATTTTGGTTTTGAAAATATTTTGTTTCTTAATTTAAAAACTTAATTATGCAAAGGAATCTGAAAATTTCTCTGCTTCTCTGTGTAAGCCTACATGATTAGGAAAAAAAATATGAACCTACAGTACTGGCATAGAGATACAGAGGTCATGACACAAAGCTCCTTGAGATCCACTTCTTCCTGAAGAGAACTCATTTGAAGTGCAGAAATAGTCATCTGTTATGTCTCAGTTGATTCTGACTACTCTGCATGTATAAACCACATATTCCATCACTCAGAGGTGATGGTAAACTGAGCTGGTAAACTTTAATACCAGCTTTATGGAATTGAGGCATGCAATGTCTTCAGCTATGAGTTTATTTTCTTTCCAGTGAGTGTCTAGCTAAAATAGTATTTACTATCCACATGCTGATATTGTTTTAGTAACCTTAGCATTTTTTTTGCCTAACTTTAAAACTTAGATGCCCAACTTGGTCAGTCATGTGGGCTGTCTGCATGTGGAGAGGAAGGATCTTCTGGAGGATGATTCATCTTTTTCCCCAGCTGCCATCTTAAGATATGTGTGTTAGGTAAAGGGGATGACTCGCCCACCTGTACATGAGCAGCTACAAAAGGAGCCTGAATGGGTTGCTCCTGAGATGGGTAATGTCAAGTGAGACTAGCCCCACTCTAATTTTAATTGAGGCATACATCTCAATGAAGAGTAGGACCGGATTGAGCAATCTGTTGGCTGTGTATTTCACTATAAAAACCTAGATGTGGAGCCTCTCTGATTACTCAGTACAAGATCTGGAGGAAGAGTCTTGTTTTGTGTCTTCTGGGTCAAATGACCCCCAGGCTGAGTGCGCAGCAGAAAAGGGGCCACCAGGCTAGTGACAACCTTTTGGCCCAACAGCACATTTGCAGATAAAATGGCCTTGAGGTGAAAATGCAGGGAGCCCTGGAGCCCCAGGGTGCCTGGGGTGCATGGGCTGGGCCTGAAAAAATGAGAGGAAAATGAGAGGGTACCTTTGTGCATCCTGTTGACAACCTTCTGGACATGTAATCTTTCTATTACACACTACACTCCCTCTTAAAACTGCCTAGGCTGATTGCTTGCCACCAGATGTATTTCAGAGCTATCCCAGTCCTCTCTTCCCTGTAAGACAGTGCTTTAGTTTCCATTGATCTTTCAGACAGACACCTGTCAGGCATAGATCATCCTGCCTTTGGGTAAAGATGTTGGATGAAATGATTGATTGAAGTCTTTCCAAGGTTAATTTTCAATGAGTGTCTGATACCTCTAATTTTCAGGCTAAATTTATACTCTTTGTAGGGGCCTTGGCAATTTCACCTTTATGCTGTTTTCTCCTTTTTCATGTTTATCCTGAGATATATACCAAACCAACAAAATCAAACAGAATGCACAATGATTATCATTATGATTAGCAATTGATTTTTAGAAGCTTTGGGAGCAGGAAATATAACATCCATTTCTCTCTCTCTCTTTTTTTTTTATCTAGCTCATTACTTTAGTAGAACAAAATACTTGAGACAAAATAGATTAGAAGTACATTTTTTCTGAATGCAAAAATCGCAGCTAGTATTTTTTTCATGTGAAAAATACTGAAAGATAAAATGCTCCTTCTAGATCATCTGCCTTTGTTGAACTACTTAAAATGTCCTTATTAAAATCTTATGATGAAAAATAAGCATCTTCATTCTTTGATTATGAAGTACAAAAAAATCAGAGATAGATTTTTTTAAAGTCGTATCATTCCTGATTTTCATGTTTTATGTGCCTTTATCTGCAAGTGATTAATTTATGCAAAAATAACTAGATGTATGCAGAGGTCAGTTTTCCATGGATATGTAGCAGCTAAGACACCTTTAAATGTATGCAGATAATTCTTAGAATCATAGGATCACAGAATCACAGAATAATTTAGATTGGAAAAGACCCTTAAGATCATTGAGTCCAGCTGTAAACCTAACACTACCAAGTCCACCACAAAACTATGTCCCTAAAAGCCACATCTACAAGCCTTTTAAATACCTGAAGGGATGGGGAACTCAGCCACTTCCCTGAGCAGCCTGTTCCAGTGCTTGATAACCCTTTTGGTGAAGACATTTTTCCTAATATCCAAAATTCTTGTTTCCTAATACTAAGACTCTGTCTCCTAATAGTCATATTAAAAAAAAATGGACAGAGGAAATATTTCATACAGTCATTTTAAAGCACTTAAACATTAATGGCTTATCATTATCCTCTTAATATAATAAATATCATCCATCTATGCATGTTACAATGGTTTAAGAGGTTATCACATGCCAGGTCAGCTACGGAATGAGCCCACATGTAAACTATAGTTAAGGACAAATGGGCAGATTTATTTCAGCTTCCAGAGGAAGGCATATCAGCTAACCTGGAACGTGCTGCCAGCTATGAGTGCCAGCAGCCAGCCCCATCATGAGGGAGCCTGGCAATGCAAAAGTTGGCCAAATGGCTTGCTCAAGGTTACAGCAGGAAAGAGGAGAAAAGCCAGGAGAGGAGCAAGGAGACGTGTT